CATAGAGTTCGGACGTTACTTCCTCGGTGAATAATACATATAATAAATAGTATCTTATTTAAATTTCTCTGTATGGCAATCATTTCTTTTTTTCTTTTTTTTTATTTGTGGCTATCATTTCTATAACCCATTTCCAATAGTAACGATTGTTTACTTCAACATTCATTAAAAGGGTAAATAGAGTGATTCGATAAATAAAACACGCTAAGCTATTCGTTGCGCTATTAAAGATAAGACGAGTCTTTAAGAGCAAAAGTGGAACGTAGCAAAGTCAATGCTCCTAAACCGTCATCTTTGGGGGTAACCAAAATCACCTAAGTAGATTTTCCATATCTATTAAGATTTTTAGATAACTATAACTGCAAATGGAGTATATGGGAGTATGAAAGGTGGCTGGCAGCTGGAGCAAGGGCGATATCCTCGTTGCACCTGTATCTTTCCACTAGCTACATTCTCGTAGATGCTGACTAAATTATTACGCGACACGACGCGACGTTGCCACTTTCTTTAAAGTTTACTCACGCTACTCTCAAGAATTTCCCAAAATTTGCAGCAACTCTGCAATGCGTGTCAGGAAAGCGTCGGTCGGGTAAGCGTTCATAGCTTTCGGTACTCGATGACAAGGTATTCACGACTGCTGACCTTTGGTGTCCTACCTTTGGTGCCTACTTTTGCGTGACAACACATTCGTCCACAAATCGCTTGTTGCCCAGACTGCAATTAACGCATGTGAGTTTGGACAGTTGGCTACCCTTCGTATTCGCCAATATTACCTCCGATAAAATGCGTTATCGCAATGCACCTACTACATAAATGGCTCTCGTGGTCTAAATAAACAATATTAAGGCTAAAATGTTAGTTTTAGTGTTCTAAAATTTAAAGAAACGTGTGGATAAATGTGTATGTAGAAATTTGTTATAAACATTACCTGTGTGTTATACAGGGTCAGTGTAAATGTATAACTGGAACCCTCATCGGAATCGATATGTCCAGTCTTTTTGGTTCTCTATTTTAAACAGTTATTTCGTATAATCGGTGATATAAAATATCATCGCAGTACATTAGTACCTAAAAATTCATAACCTCGTTTTGATATAAATATTTTAAGTTAAGGTTGTTTCAGAACTATCTCATCGCGTTCCTTGAATTCTTATTTAGATTAGCTATGAACTTATATTCAAGCAATTAGTAATATACTCGATTCACAGAGAAAATTAATATTGACTTTAAGACCGCAAGAAAGTATAAGATGCGTAAAACATTAATTTTCACGGTAACTTTGTATATTTAACATTTATACGTGGTAAGATACGATTCGTTATTAAATTCTATTTGCTCGTACGCTTGAGAACCACATAGAAATTATAACACACTCAGAACGTCGTCAGAGTTGTGCATTTACACTGGACACCCAGAGTAGTTTACCAGGACTCTAATAACACCTACCGAATAAATAATTCAGCGATGCTGGTTTGAAAATATTATTTGAACTACAAGACGAAACAAGAGAAATAACTCCAACCCCAAGGTGTCAGTCCGAGTTGAATTCAAGCGGAACGTGGCGGATTTAAAGTTAATTTAACTTTTACGTATTTAACTTTTATAGAGGAATAATGTGTTTACGGATTCCTGCGTTCCTGTTTAAGAACAACTACGTAAGAGATTTGACAAATAATACGCAATTACTATTCTTATCTTAAGTTAGACGTATATGTAGTAGTTGTGAAAGGAAATATTTATGATTTTCACCTTGTTGAAACCTAATAAAGTTTGTGCAAACCTTCGATCAACCTAGTCCCCAAATCTATGTACAGTGGGTGTAGAATGTATTCGTACACCGATCAATTTCCCAAAAAACTTTTGTGTGAAATTGTAGTTTCTTAACTTCTTCTTTTATAATCAATGACATTTTACATATTCTCGGAAGTCTCTAAGATAGATATAGTACAAACAACATTCACTAGTTAATATTATTTTGTGAAATTAACAAAAAAATGCGAAAAGTAGGTAAAAGTATAGAAGCAATAAGTTTCTGTACGATTCTTATGACGAACCATTTACAGTAGAGTTTGTAACGTAAATACATTAGTACGACGTAGAAAACGACGTACGATATAGAAAACATCAAATTTCCAGGAAAGTACTTTTAAAAATGGCTCTAATAGAGTAATGAAAAAAGATCCCACGTCGAATAACTAATAATTTAGTTAATTTAATGCTTAGAAGAGTTACAATAATTATAAAATCAAAAGGAAATCCCACGAAGGAAGTATTATATACTTATAAATTAATGTAAATTTCTTTTTTTTAATGAAGTTTTAAAAATTAAACAGTTGTGTGAATACTCATTGCTTCAATATTTCTATCGATTAATTGTTTTTTTCTTATTAATTTCGCAACTTCCATAAATAGCTATTTTTTTTTGTACTCTATCTATTTTAGAGATTTTCGAGAATATGTAGAATGCCATTGTTTATAAAAAATAAGTTAATAAATTACAATTTTACATAGTTTTTTTGGAAATTGATCGGTGTACGAATACTTTCTACGCCCACTGTACAAATTATGAATTACAACTCCGCAATAAAGCAATTTGGAGAGGCGACGGTCATGCTACGCGACACATTCAACAAATCGGAGCTTAAATTGTTTCGAGACATAGGTATGTACGTCTTATGGTGGTCATAAACATATTCCGATTGCTTCTGAAATTTCAAGGTGACCTTTGTTTTTTTTAAGCGGTACTATATATTTTTATTTACGTAGACGCGTGGTCTGAGTTAGGTTTAAAAGAGCCAACAACGCAAATTGTTTACAAACCAACGCTACAACGCGGAAAGGCAAACCTGACTCCATATCGAGTCTGTAAGGACCGAGGCCACTATTACAGTTTGACAAAACGTCTAACGTATCGGTGGAAGAGAATCGTCGCTAAGAGACAATTCTGTTGGTTAGATAACGGATGCTGTTGTCCTTATGCATACTCGTAGAACATAAGCGTCCCCCTATCTTGTTCTCTAAATCGCTCGTATACTTTCATTCAAAGAATAACACGCGGGAACAAACGGGAATGCGACCTTAACGTGGCGATTAGTTGAAACGAAAGCATCCTATAATGTTCCTCGAGAGGATTATCTCGATACACACAGTAATAGTAACATATAGTTGATTAACAATAATTTTGGTAGTAATATTTTTAACTATCACGTCGATTTAGCAGGTGAAGACAATAAAAATATCGATAAAAAATATATCATTTAATTTATAATTTCAAAGGAATCGCTCAGGAAATGGGTTACGTAGTTTGAGCACAAAAGAAATTGAATTTCATGCAATTTGTTTTTTCATTTTGCGGAGTTTCAACTTGCGCCTTTCAAAGGAAACCATTTCTTCATATGTATTGCTTATACGTATTATATATCCACATATGTAAAAGAAAGGGTCTTCTAAAGTGGTGTAAGTTCAATTTCGGAAGAATGAATTGATGGTAATTGCAATTAAACGGAAATGATTTCTTTTCGTATTTCTAATAGTCAATGGTGTAGGACATCATTATAAATTCGTCATAAAAGTTTAATCATCGAACGTTGTAAAATTATTTTTTTTTTTTTTTTTTTTTTTTGAAGATGGAATAAATATGGACAAAAATACTGTTGCATCTAATGCATATGACAAAAATGTAAGACTCGGTCAGGGCCGAACCGTATCAATTCGATAGACAATGAGGCCGAAATTATTTCTAATATTCTCATATAATATCTAAATTCAATAATAAAAATGAAAAAAATGAATTAAATAAACGTTTTCTATATAAATAGCAGAGAAATACAAAAACAGAATAAAATTTGAATTTTTGTACCTTTACTCAATTACTCATAACTCCGGTATTTATCCATAGATTTGCTTCACCAATGCCTTATTTTCTCCGTAAAAGTGCGATCTATATGTAAACAATAAGAAACTGGATATAAATTGACAGTTTCTATTTTTGCATATATAGGGCAAAATTTTCGATTTTTATTTTAGCCCAAAAAACCGACGTTTCTTATATATTTTGGCCCATAACACTTAAACTTTTGAATCGATTGGAAAACAATGTCAGAAGTAATTGTTCGAAATTCAATTACCTTCAATATGGGATCTTGCGCAACTCAATCGGACGTTTGTAACTCGAGATATGGCCTAAACTATAAAGTTATCTCAGAAAAAAAGAACCAAAAAAAATTCAAAAACTCATATCTGGAAAACCTATACATACAAACTTTTCTCAATGTGAATTTCCAGTTTAGCGGGCCAAAATACATAAAACAAATATAGTAGCATTAAATGTACAGAAATGTTTTTTCATTTTGAAAACCAGTGTAATTGAACTTCAAACAAGCACGTGACAAGTATGTAACGCATTCGTTAGACAAAAGAAAAAAATCCACGGAAACAGATTTCGATGCATATTGTACATACGTAACTATTTCAATGTGCTGGTATACACAATCCTAACCAAAACCTCGAAAACGCACGTGATTGCATTTACCGATAACAGCATGAAACTGCATTTCTACATGCAGCAACATACGCATCATATCACGAGCCAGACACGCGAAATAACTTTGGACAGTAATGATGATAGCCACGCTGTATTCAAACTGAATATAGGTACCTTGTCAACATCATTAATGGAAATTTAAGCTTCCTCCTCGAGAGATGAATCTCGGCAAACCAAGTTTAAAAAATAAGTAGTATAATGAGTTTCGAAAAGCACAACTATCCTAGCGCTTCTTATGTGTGTCGTTAGAATCGTGACTTACTTCAAATATCGATATATCATCTGTAAATGCCAGAAGAACTTGGAGTAAGAAAGTTATCGAACTTTTTTCTGCAACAATTTTGATTTCGAAGTTAATCGTAATTAATTGCGTATTCGATATCACGTTCTTTCCGCCGAGATACTGTTTTACATACGTATAATCAAAAATTTAAACAAGTAGCTTCCAAATACTTACAACATTTTTCCATAAATGTACACTTTTCTCTGGAACACCTGGTCATCACACTTTACACACAAAAAGTAATTTCATGAAAAGCAGTTACTTAAATACACTTTTTTAAATCGCATCGAATCCTTCGACGAGATAAAATTGTTTTAAATAATTTTTAAAAGACAGTTTACGATACTTTATTATTTGTAATTATCCATGTTTGTCACTGTTGAATTCATATCTAATATTTCACGTTTAAAAACATTCCTCGACACGATGACCGCTAAGTAGAAATCCACGAATACGTTCGGACGATGCTGCTTATAGAGCCGGATAGTATAACACGGAGCACCGGTCGACGCACCACTGCAAGGTAGTCAGGTTAAAAAATGAAAATAGCATCCGAACTTGAATTCACATGCAAATAATACTCCTAAAAGGAATATATTGTTGCGGCACTTTCTTCGGCAAGCGATGCGAGCACAGTCCATACTGTACGCAACGACGAAAAATATCGAATTTAAATACATACATACGAAACATACGAGTTTCATTTTATTAGATTTCACCGAAATTTCATTCGGATGCGTTTACATTTGCTTTTATCTCGCATCGATGCAATCACCGTAAAACACAATCCCGTTTTAAAAAGCGACGGTGAATCGCGTCGATGCGTCGACACGTAAAACGGCAAATTTGACATTCCAATAGAAGAATGTCGGAACAGCACTCGAAATAGTTCTAGGATTAGAATTCACTAAATTCGGACCCGCGTCTAGTGCACGTGAACATCGCGTAACACGACCAGGTTAAATTTCATTTAAAGTAGATGTTGTTTCAGCATTTGACGCCACCAGGACGAGAACATACTCTGGCCGTAATTAATAAATACTCACTCACCGAAACTGGTGGAGTTGTCGGTCCAAGCACTCGCTGCGAACATCAATAGTAGAAAAACCGTCATCAGGAGCCGCGAACGGTCCTCGATGGTACAAAGAATACGCTTCACAGGTTCACTAATCATCACGGTACCAAATGGACGAGAGGATACGCGACCGGCATCCCGACTGAGGGTTCGCGCTTCGCGAGCCCCAAGAGCGTGGTTCTCTTTCCCCTCTCCCTCCTGCTTGCTTTCACATCACACCGTTCTCCCTACCACGTTTCCTTTCCCGCCACGCGCAGACGCTTCAACATTCGGAGCTTTCTAACTCTTGAGCTTACCCGTTTCCCTACCCGACCACCCCCTTTGATCCGACTCATTCATCTCTTAACAATAAGTGACGATTAATTATCGCTGTATTTTCCTGAATTTGTATCATCGGTTTGTTTCCCCGTTAACCCATGGAAGCACCTGTACAACGTGCGTTCGATTATCTTTTGATACTCGTCAAAAATTTACAAACATTCCAGAGGTACCAAAGTATCGCGGAGCCTGAATCGTCTGTAAGCGCGAAAAGTTTCACGTACCCGATACAAACTAAATTTAAACAATTTACATTGGTTTGAACACTTTAATGGCGGCTCACACAACATGTATGCAATGAGCTCTATCCTAACTGGAGTGTGAACTCTTGTAGGAAAAAGCAGCCGCGACGGAGGTTCGAGAGAAATGAAAAATGGGTGGTTCTGGTATTATCCTATAGCAAATTTATTTGTATAGGGGGAACAAACGTACGCCGTAACATAATCTACCCGAGCATTGTAGACCTAAAGCATTACAAAGCTGAAATAATTCTATTTTCAGATTCTTTTCCGCATAAAATTGGATAAATACAATATAAATTGAATTGTAACAAATAATAAAATTTAGCTCTATACCAAATTGTATATATTTGTATGATCTAAATTATGGTATGTAAATTATCTATACTATTTCATTATTATGTCATTATTATTAATGTTTCTATCATTTTATATATAAATAAAAAGGAAATAAAGTTCAAATCTGTACGAATATTTTGTTTACGCATCAAATAATTTCTAGTGTCGCGAAAAGCAAACAAACAGTAGTTTTCCCTCGACACATAAATTTGCTATAGGATAGTACCACCGGAACCACTCATCTTGCATCTCTCTCTCACAGTTCGCACTCCAGTTAGGATAGAGCTCAATGAATGTATGTGATAGGCAGAAAAACTGTCAGTAACCGCTTACACAACATGTGTGTGATGCTACCGCTAAATATTATTTGCCGGTACCACATTCTCTGTGTGATGATTGATGAACGTAAACAAGTGTGGTTTTTTATTCTCTATGCAAATAAAATTAGAAAGCCTACATATTTTATGTGTAAGACTTGCCAAGTACCGTTACATGTAGGTGATCGTTTTAGTAATTATTACACAAAAGAAAAATATTAAATTTGTTGTTATTGTTGTTGTTGTTTTTTTTGTTTTATATGCATGGTCGCACATATTGAATTATGTCGTGAAGTTACATAACAGTTTTTTAAATTACTTGTTAAAAAATATTGCCGGTCCCTGGCGATGTTTGACTGTGTAGACGTGAAGCCATTAAAGTGTTAATGTTGTCTGTCCTTAGGTTACATCTTTCAAAGTTAGAACTTGTCCAATATTCAAAAAACTAAATCGTCCCACAGACTACGCTGACGTGACGTGGGCCAACGTCTCATCAGGCTCCGTGGGTCCATATCAGACATGAAGCGTAATCAGATTGACGCCATTAAAAAATGAAAATACCAATCTCCGCAATTTTTATCAGAACTTTGCGGAAACAACATCAAACGATTCCTGATGTTTTTGCGATATAAATGATACCACACATGACATAATTTGGACAACAATTAGCGAAATTATATGAAAAATCTGATTGCATAATTGAAAAGTTATTTCGTTCAAAATAGTTCGATTTACGCGATGTGAGATATCATTTTAATCGGGAGAACACCAAGAATACAATGCCATCACGTTCACGTGGATTCGATGAAGAATAAAGAATTCGATTTTATGAAAAATTGATGAGTCGATGGCCGTTCGATCCCAGACCGTTGAGTGACCCCAGGTAGGCCCTCGGCCGAGAACAAAAGACGGGCAGTCCATCGTAAAATGATGAACTACTGTACATAAAATATTTATATTTTTCATCAGATTATCGGTAAAATAATATCAATGAATTCCTTATGTTTTTACGATAAAAATGATATCAAACATCACATAATTCGGATATTTTTTACCTGAAGAAGCAGCGAATACGTCAGCCTGTATTGCAAACGTCACTCATCAAATTCGTTAACACCTTTTTTTGTCAAACGGACAATAATATAAGAAATAATCTTACCTCATAGGAAACTGATTGAGCAATAAGATGCTTTGATCATAATAAAGAATAATTTGAATTAGAAGCTTAACCACTTTGTATAAAAAGGGTTAGCTCCTAAACATATAATTATCAATATGAATGATATTTTAAATTTTAATGTATATAAATTTACAGAAAGAAGAATAACTAATCAAATCAATTTCGTTAAAATTAAAATAAATATTGGTATAAATAAGTAAATAATTATATAAATTAATTTTTTCAATAAAAAAAATTCCTTATTCAATAATTTTACAAGATCTGGTAATAATGCAGTTAAAAAGAAAGTATTTCATACTTTTCACTGCATTTTCTCATACTTTTATAAACAATTATATCTAGAGCTGCTCATATATATAAATTACTGGTCATATAAATTTATATAAATTAACTAAAAATTATTTTATTCTTTTTAGTGTAGTTTTTGTATTTTAAATTAGTTTATCTTTAAAAATGGCAAACAAGTTCCTAGAAAACATCCGACGCTCACAAAAAATGTAGTAGTTTCGATGTGCTCCTGACGCGTCAGAACGCACATTTCGTCAGATAGCATAAGCCCACGTCAGAATAATGTGAACGTCGCCATGCAAAACCCTATGTTAGATTTTAACCACGCGTGTTATGACGTGGGCCTACGTGGGAACACGCGTGTCGCGTCAGATGGCGTCAGTCCACGTCTTCCCACGTCACGTCAGATTAATGTGAACGTTGCCATGCAAAACCCTATGTTAGATTTTCATACCACGCGTCTAATGACGTGTACCCACGGGGGTGTCACGTCAGAGTAATCTGTGCGACCCTTTGACACGCATTCTTGTACCCGAGTACTTTGCCCACGGCAGCTACAATCGTTCGACAATGACATGGTTTGTTTGCGTAACTAAAGTTAAGGTCTATTATGACGGACCTTTTAGACTTTTCTGACGCTATACTCCATCGAGACGAGTCACCAAGTATAAACACGAGCACGTGAGCAGGACAGGACCAACTTATGAGTTCCAGATCCCACATCGCATCGTAAGATAAGCTTTTCCTTTTTCAAGTTAAAATTCTTTGACTATGGTATGTAGTTACTCGTTATACAGGGTGTCCCAAAAGTCGGGGAGGAGCCGGAAATGGGGGGTAGCTGAGACGATTCTGAACAACAATTTCCTTTGCAAACCGCGGCCGCTCGACATTTTTGCAAAGGAAATTGTTGTTCAGAATCGTCTCAGCTACCCCCCATTTCCGGCTCCTCCCCGACTTTTGGGACACCCTGTATAATTATAACGAGTATACAGTGTTATTATTATTTTTTATTCTATATTACTCTCATAACTGGTATTTGATATTCCGACCTATTGTCGGAATCATTTGAACGTTGATATGTCAATGTTTTCTTCGTCCGAACTTGAGAATTACATAACAAAAATGTTACATACTCAACGGAGGAAAGAAAGCACACGTTTACTTCGAAGGCTCGCATAAATCTAACCATTTTTAGCCTGTTTCCAACTTATCTGTGACCATACTTACCAGTGAAGAGTACCTGAACTCATGAAGTACACATTTGGAACTTGGTGTGGGAAGGTGGAACAAATTTGAGCACTTTTTGTGATCATTATATTTTATAATGGATCAGAATATTAAGACATCATTAATACCACGCACATGCTTTAACTTGATTCAGTCTAACCTCTTTTCCTCACACACATACCAACTTAACTCACTCTCTCACGCATACCAAAACCAACTCTCAAACTTGGAACCATACCTTATAATTAGCTCTGAGTTGTAACATGTGTAAGTCAATGAACGTAGTCCCAGAGCTGATCACGTAACAAGCCAGGGAGTTGTTTGTTTTTACTTAGTGACTCGTTTCGTTGAACGGACTGTAGATGTGTACTACAAGTTCCACCTAGTGTCCCCTTTTATCGGAGAACTTGTAATTGCACATTCGTTTTTCGAATCGCCTTTAAAAAACTGCCAAACCTGGGTGTAATCTGTAAATACACGCGTAATCTCTGTTTTCATGGGTACGCGCGGCAAAATCTACGAGAATGAATAATGATCCTTGAGAGGTGTGAATTATATTGTAGAATCGTGGCATATGGGGGAACGCCGTGTGGTTACTAACATAAGTTCTTGTAGATGCCCATGCTGGAAGGCGTGTCTGGGAGACTCGAAGGCGCCAGAAGACACACTGCCATTGTAGCTTCCAACTTCTGACGATGCTGGTCCTTTCTTCTTCCCTTTCACTTCCTCTTATTCGTACCTCCGGCAGCCAACACAACCTCAGCTGTCCTTTCCTCTTTCGGTCTCGCGCATCCATTCCTACACGACTATCGCTTGCCAGTATTACGCTAGCCCTTGAATCCTTGAGTACGAACGAAAATTTTTCTCTCTTTTTCTTCTCGTCGATTCCGAAGCCAATCGACCATGCTCAACTACGACTTACTCCTCCTCCCCCGATATTTCCTATTCCTTCGTGAAATTTTCCATCGACCATCTCGCTTTAACTATTACCAATGTACAATAGAATATGTTTACGTGCTGTTTGATGCTAAGCGTAGTAGTTGCGGGGATAATAAATAAAATAACTGTAAAGATAAACGAAGATTGTTTGGTAATATAAAACATACTTCTGAAGGAGTTT